GATTAGACCAAGTCACACGCATGAAGTTTGAGGGTTCTGGTCTGGATTTTGTACATTAAGATTATGGTTGAACCCATCTATTCTATTTTAGATTCTCAAACTCTAAGATGTCATTTTCTATATGTACTTGTCCAAATAATGTAGTGGCATCGATGAGTATAAGATGTTCGGGAAGTTTACCTGCAGTAAACTACCCAAGGTTACTTGTCTTGTGAAAGAGCTAATTTTCCCCTTGAATAAGCATTTATCTTCTCAATAACCCTTGGTCGAGCTATTTATGTTTTTCACGATCAAATTCTATCCACTCCCGGAAGGGGGAAAACAAAACATTAGTTTATATAACTATAGTAGTAACTGTAATTTCTTAGTTGTTGCAACTTGTAGTTCAATCAACTTTCTACAATTTGAGGAGGGAAATTCATCATTATAATCTACTTCTAGACACATACTTCGATAACAATTGTAATTATTTGAGTTCAAGTTTCATTGAGCTCATAACTTAGTGGATCTAATCACTTCACTCTAAAAAACTTAAGCTGTTGTTATTATGATGATTGATTTAAACTTTTTACGTAAAGTTTATAAGTTATTTTCATAACTAATTCGAGATGAAATATCACAATGAAATTGTTTTATTTTTTTGTTGATATTCTTCTATTGTTGGAATGGAGGATAATTTAGAATGATAAGCAAAATACCGTGAGTGTTAGTAAAATTGTGCAAAGAGTATTTAATTCGGTCTACAATATGCTAAGCTGAAAAGGATAACAGAGTTAGGCATGGAGGGTTTAGGTGGTTCAGAAGCTCTTAACAAGAAACGATGGGCGAGGGGACGGTGCTGGTTTGAGTCTAGCAACAGTGGGGAAAGAAAGGCGAGCCCAAAGTTTAAAAGGCTTGTTTGCTGAGAACAAAAAAAATGAAAGGACAAGAGATAGGCTAAACCATTTTGGACACATATCGGCTAAACCCATTGGAGGCACATTCCCTTACCCAAGTTTTATGGCTTATTTAAGTTTTTCATTATTTTATTTTATATGAAATTTAATTTAGAACATTTTTACATATATACATATAGAAATATAAAAATATACAAAAGATAATTAAATTTATAATAATATTTAAAATAGTAATTATTTAGAACAAGAAAGAACTTTAAGGAAAATTGCAAGTGGAAATTTTTCTAAATTTTCATAAGTGAAAATAAAGTTGAGACCTCACCAAAAGTGTTGGAAGGAATCCAAAAAATTATTTTTGCAAAGACTATTATTTTATATAATTATAAAAACATTTACAACTCAAAATAAATATATAATAAATAAAATTATGGAAAATTGTCAATTGCATAGTGAAAATTGTTTTCATCATATATCTCTCATTTAAATTATGCAAGCACGTGAAAATCTAGCCAATGGTGCCATTTCAAGAAAATTGTCAATTCTTACACGAGACAAATTTTTAAAATTCTACTACAAGTTTTAGAGAATTCCAAAAATTTTTCAATATCAAAGGCTTTCATTTAAAACAAATATAGCAAATTTTGGATTTAAAAAGGAAAAAAATATAGGATAAAAATACTGTGAAATTTTTTAGAAAAAATAGAAATAAGAAGAAGAATAAAAAATTTAATTGGTATGAAATTACACAAAATAAAAAAGTATAAAAAACGAAAGACACAAAAAAGGAAATGCAAATAGGTGAAAATCTCTAGAGGATGGAATTTCAAGAAAATTATAAGTGACAATTTTCTTGAAAGTAAGTGAGAAAAATCTACTAATTTTACCAGACATTTTGAAAAAGTGTAGAAAATTTTGATAATAAAAAGAAATATGAGAGAGAAAATTAAAGTGTCAAAGACAATTTGTTAAGATAAAAATGGATAACACATTATTAATTAGTCTTTTGTTAATAAGAGTAGAATTATAATTTTAATTAAGTAGTCAATCACATTTAAGCAAAAAAGATTAATTGTATTCCTCAATTAGGTCAAGTGGTTGGGTTCCTAACAAATCGTCTTTTCAATAAATATGTCAATCTTCTATCTAATAAGCAAAAATGGATGTAAAGTTGAGAATAATGAAAGCAATAATAGCTTTTCATTAAAAAATGTTTATTAAATTTTTAATTATACAAAAAAGGTTAGTAATATAATAAGCTCTTTGTTGGTATATTATATATGCTTAATTATTCATTAAATGTTGAGCCTATATATGTATGGCCAACATACCGAATATTTTGAAAGCTAAGGAAGGAAATAACTTGGCAGCTAACCCCATTTGCTTTGCTCTCTTCCTCTCTTGCTTGCCAGTCCCTTTCTTCTCTTTATATTGCCTGAGATCGGCTTCTTTCTTTGAAGCAAGCAAAGTGCTGTTAAATACCGTATTTTATGTAGTGTTCTCATATCTA